GGATTCATTCACATCACATGGCCATTGTTGTGCTGGCTGGTGTCATTCCATTATTTGTCAGTCTGAGGGGAAAGAGGCCAGTGCCCCTGGCTAGATAGTCACGTGTTGCATGTTCTAAAAATTCTCGTAGCACACGAGTTGAAAATTGCTGTTGTACCTCAGCATCCAGAATGAAGAAAGAAGGGGCAGGAAAGTTTTTAATAGTCTCAGGAAGTCTAGTTCTCGGAGATTCCCCCAGAGACCAGGTCACTTCTGGGCGCTGGCCAGGACTGGAGATGAAGTCAGGATTCCTCAGGAATTGGTGGTGGGCTGCTCAGTGGTCTTTATCCTGGGTGAGCTTCGTTACTTTCCATGACCTGTCTCTGCACTAACCTTAGGATGCTGTGTGCATGTGATTAATTAGTGGGACCGGCTGGCTGCTGGTGATCCCTGGGCAGAGCTTTGCTCTTACAGTGAAAACACCTCTGGGCAGACACTCTGCTGGCTTGGAGCCGAGAGCGCCATGGTGCGCAGATGTTGAGACACACCGGGGAGGGGGGTACTGTGGTTAGGAACGTGATATTTAGGGTCTGACGGTTTTGGGTGTGAATTCCAGCTCCACGTCTGAGCAGCTATTTGGCCTTGGGAACATGACCTAACTTTTCGCACCCTCAGTTTCCCCATCTGCAAACTGGGGATAATACTCTGTACCTCATAAGTTCATGTTAAACGTTAAATGATAAAGCACATGTAAAGAGCTTACTATAGAGCCAATCAGTCAATAATGGTAGCTGATTATTATTAGCTATTGTAACTGTAGCTATTTGTATTGTAAAATCCTGCTCAATTTTGAATGTGTTTCTGCACATTTTTCATGAAGTCCTAAATAGTTTTCATTAATTAAAAGCATCCCAATCAGGAAAGCACTATTTTACTTCATGTATCTGCCAGGCAGGAGGTGTTTATTGTTTGCCCTGAGCTGTTTGTTGACTTTGGTGGTTCTGTAGATCCAGTGGTTTCGTTGGTGGTAACCTCATTTCGATCACCCAGCCTTAAAGAATTCCATCCAGTCGGTGAGGCAAGTTACTCCTTTCCTGAAAACACATGGGTCCCTCTCAGCTAAGTTCCTGCTCTTCCCCTGTTTGATTTCTTAAAACAGTGTCTGAAGATTTTAACCACAACTGAATCAAAACTAACCAGCCTGTAATTTCCGGGTACGTCCCTATGGCCTCTCTTTTAACACACACACACGCACACATGCACACACGCACACGCACACGCACCATGGCAGTACACAGGCCGGCTTCCAGGGTTTCGACCGGAGCAAGCTGGGAAACGTGTGTGCATGTCGCCCCGATTTCTCCTGTGGCTCCCACGGAACAGGCTCTGACTTGGCCCTGGTCCCAGCAGGACAGCTCGTCAAATTCAGGGGCTTTTAATTTTGAGTCGTTTTAAGAAAAGTTTAGCCATACTATCTCGCCAGAGTTTTTAACGCATACCTTCCTTCTCTTCAATTCAAGTTCCTCGTAAAATAAGGCAACTTGTGCTAAGCATGTAAGCCAGAAAGAACTGTTCTGCTTTCTTGCAAAAGACATGCTAAAAATATCCAAGAAAATAGGGACTGGTTATTTGAATTCACAAATTAAAAGCACAACTAGAATATATTTGCATCTTTTCCAAAATTCTATTCAAATATTCTGAATCTGACTAAACTCAAAGGCACAGAAAACTGGATTTAGTTCAACTGATTATTTAAATTGTTGATTTTTTTTTGTATTACAGTCATTTTCATCTGTCATAGATGATTAAATGTTTTCTTCTAGTTGAATTCTTAATATAATTTAAATATTTTGATTGAAATAAATCAAAATAAACAAATGAACAAATGAAGTGTTTTGGTTTTAAATAAATGTTTATCATTAACATACAACATAAAAGTTAGGGTTAAAAAAGTAAAAATGTGAATGATGCTAGAATATTCAGATAATGGCTAAATGAAAACAGGGATCAGAACAGAAACCGAGTAAATTATTTTAAAATTATAATGAACACGTGCCCACGACATTGCTCCTCTAAATGTTTGTTTCAATAAACATTAATTAATAACAGATTGCTAATGAAGAACTAAAAATGCAGAATAAATGCTGAGATAATGATGTATGTAAGAAAAATTCATTTTTAAATAAAACACTCTCATTCAGATTGTATTTTAAGTTACAATAAAATCTAATTTGAGATTAATTATAAAAGGGTCATTTTCAGAAGTTCTGAAATGATAAAATATATTTAAAGAAATACAGTATATTTTCTTTATGACATGCATATTTGGAAGTAATTAATAAAGTATTTCCAAATAGAGAAAGTTTTCAAATATATTCAACTTATTTGCAATTGGAGGCAGGAATTTGCCTTCCAGAAATTTATGTGCTGAAGTCAAAATGGTTCTTCTAAGAAATATCTCCTCATGTAGTCTTTTTAATAATATTCTTTAGCCAGCTAACTTATGGTCAAAGCAAACACAATGTTAAGCATAGCCCAGACTAAAGTGTTATAAATTATTACAATTAGTGGAATCTAAAAAATGATGTTTTTACTGTATTTGGCAATTGAAATATTATTTACCATTTACTTTCAAAAAGAGTTTTAACAAAATAGGATCAAAACATAGCTATACATTTTATTTGTTTCTTTGAAAAAGAACAGGGTCTGAATTATAATTTTTATTTTTATAATTATTAATGTTTGTCCACAGCTTCTCCCTAGTATTTTCTATAATTACGGCTGTGGCTATTTTTAAAGCATTCACTAAAAAAATACAATTCAGAAAATGTACAGATGTAGGCACTGTAATTAGCACTTGAAAGAAAACATCCACAAAGTTTTCATGTTGATGTTAAAATGCTGAAGGGACAGGCTCTCCCCTTGCAGGAACTTCAGAATTTTACCCTTGGTTTAGAAAAGAGAAGGAGATTGGGTAAAGTCCTCTTTTCTTTTTTAAATTTCTAACGCACAGTATGGTGTCAGTTTTACATACTTTATACTCATTTCGCTTTCTGCCAAACTCCTTGGCTGACAAGCTTTAAGGTCGTCGATTGTTACGACTGGCCTGTTGGGCAGCGTTGTTGAAATAAACAGAGATTACATCATCCCCCAAACAACTCCCTTAACCTTGCTTTTACCCAGAGCATCTTCTGGAAAGCACCCCATTCCAGTCACATCTCATCCCTTACTCACACAGCTGCAACACAGGGACCTGGGGCTGGCGTTTGGGAACCTGACCTAGTGAAGGCATTGAACTAGACTGTGCAATCGTTGGCTCTTCGTTGCGCAGAGTTCTCGTATCATCTATTATTTCTATGTTATGCATGATATAGAAATAAACCTAAATTCAAGCCCCAGTTCCTTAGGGCTCTTGAATTCTCAACAAATCAAGATCATTTCCATATCTTCAGAATATTATAACTGTATTAACACAGTTCACATTTCCAAGAAATGTTGAGCAAAATAACAATGCAGAAATATTTATATATTGTTGCTCATTGCTAGTTTAAAAACTTTTTTTGGAGCTTCCAGGATATTCCATGTATTGTTCCCTCACATCTGTGACCTTGGATCTAAAGCCTCTGACGAACAACCCCTGACTCGGAGCAGGCGGCAGACCAGTAAGTGCACTGACGCTGGTTAGCCTGTTAGGGGTACTGTCGGCGCTGTGAGGAAGCACAGAGCCAGCGGAAGGTTCAGGGATTTTCCAGGACTCACAGACTACATTTCCTAATTCAGAGTCCCATGTGATGCTGGAATTTAAAAAGGCAAGAAAAGATATTTCTATAGTTTCCAATTTTCCAATTTTTCTTCCGCCAACTCTTAGCGGCCCTGAGCGTTTAAGGCACGCGTCTCCCGCACAGGCCGGAAAGCGCTTCAGTAGATGGAAAACTGTAGCGTCGCCCGTGTGCGCATGAGTGGAATTTCCCTGCAGACAATACGTGCCACGTTAATAAGGTGCTCTACGGGAAATCTCTTTGGAAAACATAAAGCCTGATATTACAAATATAAGGTGGCATTATTAGTTTGTTCTTACAACGGTCCTGTCAAGAGACCAACTCAAACAGGAGCGCCAGATTTGGGGGTCTTACCAAAGTGAAGAAGGTGTTATTGGAACACGCTCACTTTCTCTCTCTTCTTCCGCGAAATGATTTTACATCTTCCCCTTAGGGGCATGAAGGAACAAGTTACATGCCAATGCATTTCTAATATACACATGCATGCACACACATGCACACACATACACATGCATAAACATACACATTACACATGGACACAGGAACATTTGACTTTCCCAAAATACTTCAGCATGATTTGAAAAAGAAGAAAAACATCTCTAATTGTGAGTAATGATAATAGCAAATGCAGTTAGATTGGCATCAATTTGCTAAAAGCACTTTAAAGTATTTTTCAGATGAAAATCTGAATCTTTGGAAAACACACAGATTGATTTCCATAGGCTAATTAAGTGAAAAGTCTCCATGTGAAGAAATCATCAGTGTGTATTACGGAAATAGAAGCGATGGATTGCTGCTGAAATAGACTGTGATGAAGGTGCAGATGCAGCCCATTATTTTAATCAGCACTCCTACTGAATGTCATGTAGACTATTTCAAATGGGACCTTGACTTTGTGGGGTTCTCCAGCTTTTTACACTTACTTCTGACTCGCTGTCTCTCCTCAGTCCCCTTCTCTGTTACTAGCACATAAATAGACTGCTGTACAAATAACCTCAGGCATAGGCCCTGAATATTGTCGTATTTCTACATGAGGGAACTTGTTTTTAATGTGTTTGTCTTTGAGAAAGTACAATTTCTCCAGCGGGGCCTTGGACAGCCTTTGCCCCGAGGAGCCGAGACGAAAGCCTGGCTACTGGGCAGCACGCCGCGGCAGGCTGGCGACGAGAGGGAGAGTCCCGGGGCAACTGGGCTGCTGCACTCCTGCTCGCTTGCTTTAGGGAGCCCACCGGGGTACAGTACCTTCTTTTCATTTTCCCGGCGCTGTTGGTCCTTAAGTTTAATCTGGAGAAGTTGGAATTTCAGGAGTTTCCCTATCAGTGGTAAGGTTAATTTCTCTCCATTGTCCATGATTGCTTTTGCTGCTAGTAACACCTATGAAGAAGCACAATCATTAGGAAAGGTGGCATTTACAACCGTTGGCACAGCCTGTCAGTGATGAAAAGGTGAAATGGTATTTGGTTTCGTAATATTTGTCTTACTGCAAAGGTGCCTCACTGCTGGCCAAAAAAATTAGGGGAAAAATGGCCTAACCCCACAGAGAGGGCCATTTATTCTCTACTCTAAATAAGTTGGGTTGTCTGGAAATTAACTTCTTTTCCCCATAAGGCAGGGGTGCTTCACGCAACAGTGCTCGAGTCGGACCCTCCAAAGCAGGGGTAGGGATGGTGGGCGGGGGGCTCTGGGACGGGGTGACTGCCGGCCGGTGTCGTGCCACAGAAGGCTGTTGTGCAGCGTGGCACACGGTCCCAGCTGTCAACCTCTGACTCATCAGTGCATGGCAAACTAAACAGGGGTTATCATCATGAAAATGCCTATGTTAGCGGTCATTCATTTCTTAGTGACCAAAGGCAGATGAGAGATAAAAGATCCTTGACACGGAGGCACCATCTGAGTGGTGTCCAGCCCCTCCCCCTGCAGCTTCATGTGGATCCTGTTGGTATGCAGCCTAATTGGGGTGAAATGAGGTTATTGAGTTTTCTTGGGGTGACGACAGCCACTGGGAACATACAGCTGTATTGTCCAGATGTGTGGCACTGACAGCCTGCTTTATGACTCCACTTTTTACAGCTCGTTTCCCCTAAATGTCACACAACTCTCTAACATCTGGGCCCTTTTCCTTGGAGCCCTATAACCACTTTATTTACTGCAAAAAAAAATAAAATCACGTAAAATATACCATAAAATGTTGTTACGTGTTCCTCTTTATTTGTGTTGTCTCCCTAGCAAAGCTCACCTCCAGCGGAACCACTGTCACAAAAATAGACCAGTCAAAGCATTTTCTGACTTTTGTTTTTAAGCAAGCCCCAGGTTTATTTATAACCCCAGGATGAATGAGGTGTTACTAAAATGTTCTGACATGTTGCTTTTCTCCCCCCTTGGAGCAATTACTCCTCCGGGCGCATATGGTGTCAATTTCAGCCCCTGCGTCCCAGACAATGACGGCGCACACTGCAACTCATCGAGCCGCGTCTGTCTGAGATCCGTACCAGCTCTCGGTCAGGGCCTTCCTGACCAATCCGGTTCCTGACGACTTTCCACCCGGCCAAGGGAAACAGCTGAAAGAAAGGGAGGTGGCTCTTTGCTTCTAACTACGGAAGGTTCTGTAGATTGTCATAGCCCAAAATGTAACCGGGCCTCTTTGAGACTCCAGTGGGGTTTCCTGCGATGCATCACAGGAGGGCACAGCCAGGGGAAGGGCTCCTTTAAAGCCAAAGAAACAAACCCGACGGCAGAAGGGTTTGTTTCTTTGTGTGTGTCTAGGCAAATGCCCTCCATGAAAGAGAGCTCCTTGCTCTTGTGGCGGGCCTCCTGCTAACACGATTTAGGGGAAGGGACACGAGGGCTGTGGCTTCTGGGAGTGGGAAAACATAAACGTCCACCTGCACAACCTCACCACCTGACGGTGACCAGACTCAGGAGGGAATGAACGGTCACGCGTTTACCGAGAAATGGAAGCTGTCGGATCGGGTCCAGCCCCACGGGTAGATGCACTTGGTTTAAAATGGCATTTTCAAAACCAGCTGAACAGTGTGCTGACAATTAGGCTGCTTTGTGACATTTGGCTCAAAATACACAAATTTGGGTTTTTAAGGCTCACAGGAGCCTAGCAGGGGTGTTCCTCCACTATACAAATATAATGATGGCATTGAAGGGAAGTCAGCACTGGGACGGGTCACCCAGGAGTGGCGAGGAGTCTCTTTTCCTGATGACCTGTGAAAACAGGATATTTACCTATGTCTGGGGTGGTTCAGGTGAGGCCTGCCTGGTGTCGTGGTGATGGATGGGATGTCTCTATGAGTCTTTGCGTGTTACCTCACTGTGTTAAAATGTTCTGAAAGCACAACAAAACGTCCCAAGAGAAAGGTATTTTGGTGGCCATAAAAGTTTTCTCTGGTTCATCCAAACTGTCTGTAGGGAGCTGGGTTTGAACCAAAAACCTGGTGTGGCATCAAAGCCACGGTGGTACCCCGTGGTACCCCACAGCGAAAGGGGGAGATGGGTGAGGAGGAGTGTCGCTGGAAAAGCTGGGCGCCAGTTCTCATGACACGGGGACACAGGATCGGAGCAGCGGCAGTGCGAGGCGGCACTGAGGAGGGACGGGGCACGGTCCTGCCTGCCCAAACAGCTCGAGGGCTGCCCCTGTGCAGACAGACCCCCAGCCGGCACCACGGCCCTCGGCCCCCTCGGCCACGGCAGAAGCAGCGCGTGCTATCCTTCCCCAGGGTCGCTCTGCGACTCCCACATGGGCCTTTGCTCTCCGCGCTCCCCCCAAAGTGTTCGGCACAGTGAATCCTTGGGCTAATTAATGGAAATGAAAGGCTTGCTCAACTCAGAATCTGAGACTGACAATTTTTATGGTATTTAGGTCATCCCCAGGAGAGGCAGAAACATAATTTCTACTGAAAATTCTTTCTTCTCACACTCCATAATTCACAATGTCACCCAATCAGGAGCTAGTAGTTTGGTCTTAGATGAAAAACAAATCCTTAGAGGACCTTTGTTTGAAGCATAAGGCTTTGAGGAACGAAAACAAAAGAACTACAGAAGAGACAGAATTTAAGAGAAAATACATTTCACGCAATATTTCAGAAGGGATTCCCCTCCTTTGCCTTACTTGTACTAATTGAAATAATAAATAACCAAATTTTTAACCTTCCAGCATTGTTAGCATTACTCGTCCAGTATCTATTCAATGTGTGCATCGGTACATCTGTGTGTCTGCACGTGTGTGTCTCTGTGTCTCTGTGTGATGTACCGTGTGTCTGTGTGTCTGTCTTTGTGTGATGCACTGTGTGTCCGTGTGTGTGTGTCTGTGTCTCTGTGTGATGTATCTCTGTGTGTGTGTGTGTCTGTCTCTCCGTGTGATGTCTCTGTGTCTGTGTGTGTATCTGTGTCTCTGTGTGATGTGTCTGTGTGTCTGCATACGTGGGTGTGCGGGGAGACAAACTGACAAGGGCTGCAGGTGTGAGGAGGGTGAAGTCTGCGAGAGAAAATGGGAGCAGTGAGCTGGTCAGGGTTGGGGAGTAATCAGACAAAAACCCAAGCTTGTAGAACCAGGCAGAAAAACAGTCCCAAGTGGGTTAAAACCTGGGTATTCATCAATCCAAAAAAACAAATAAATGAGCCTGGCATGAGTCAGAATTTTTTTTTTTTTAAAAGAGTCTTATGGGTAAGTGAGACTCATTAAAACGGAGGAAAACTGCTGCCAGGCCCGGCCTGCGTGAGTCTGCTGGCCCCACTCAGGCCACGCCGAGGGCCTGCCAGGGCTGGGGCGGCCCAGGCCGAGCTTCTGGAGGCGTGCCGTGCTGGGGCAGACTGGTAGGAGGAAACTGAGCTTCAAAGAGTGCAGCGGAGGCCGCACTGTGAAGATCTCATTTTGGGGGTGGATGTCCTCCTTCTGTTAGAAAGTTCGTGATTCTGAGCACACTGAGAAGTAAAAGTATTTCCCTCTTTATCACTTACTTGGCTCAAAGACTTAGGTCATATCCACCAGCTAATGATGTGATCCAACAAAAATGGGCCAAAGGAGTCACATTCTTCCCTTGCCTGGGTGTCAGGCCCCCCCTCCTCCCAACTCGGGTGGCCTCCCTTCCTCCTGTCCCTCCTCTGTGCAGCCCCTTTCCACATGGTTGCAGTAAGCATGGCATCTGCCTGGACGAAACTTAGAATTGCTCCACAGACTAGAGACCTAATGAGTGTCCGTGTGCAAGTGTGTGCACGCATTTATACACATAAACACATATGTGTACGTGCACATAGATGCATGAGTGTGAACATGATTGAGGGACAGTAGGATAGACAGGCCGGACGTCCATGAGGTCTGCTGCCCGGGGTCCCCATTCTGATCACAAAGGAAGCACAGGGAACAGCTTGGACACTGCTCGATTCGCCATGCGTTTGTTCCGGGTGAGTTATGAGGAAGAGTAAGGACTTTGGAACTGCATTTCTTTTGCCTGGAACAGGTGATGGAGGAGAGGGAAAGGTGTGGTTGTGTTGGGCATAAAAGGGAGGGGTGATGGGGAGGGATGGGCTGAAGGAAGACTTTCCCTTCAGAAGCGCCAAATCGTACCAGTCTCCTAACATTAACCTGTTGGTTTCAGGGCCCTCCTTGGGGAAGGGTGGGGTCCATGGCGTTGGTACAATAGCTGTATTAATGCACAAAATATGAGTTCATATTTAACTCATTACCTCGGGTCCATGACTTAGGGTTGGTTCAGATACGCGAACGGAAGCAGGATCCATGACCTTGACTCAGTCCAGGTGAGCACAAGCCTGAGTGGAATGTTTATGACCCACAGGTGTGTGACTGTGTGTATATGTGTAGATGTGCATAAGTGTATGTGTGTTTACATGTGCAGCTGCTTTTGAGGGATGATTAAGATTATTAAAAGATATTCAGCATATAAAAACACCATCAAAACTGAGTTCATGGATATTGAAAAATCCTAAAAAGGGAAGAAGAATATTAACATTTTTGATCAGCACCTTAAAAGTAATAATGCTGACTAGCATTTCTACCTAATTATCCCGTAGACCCAAGGTTTTGTGTTTATCATTAAACCCATGTCAGATTAAATGTGTATAATTCATCCATCAAAGTAAACTGCGTGACTAGATGTACCATCTTCAGAGTCTGTTTCTTGGGCAGCATCAACATTCACGTATGTGTTCTGACGCTGTGTGCGCTGTGTCTGCTCACAACACTGCAGACATCTGAGGAGCCAGTGGCCCAGTGAGTGTGTGTGTGCGTTACAAAACGGTCATTGCTTCCAGGAAAAGGCCTGCTGCAGATGAGCCTGATTCTGCGCACTGGATGAAAAGGCGGGAAGGCCGGGTTAGACATGACTGAAAGGACCCCTCACGTGGGAAGG